AGAAAATTGGGTGATTCGGAGCTCATATGCGTGAGCGGACTATAATGTCCACATTAAAAAGAGGTCATTGCAGTCTGACTCTCAGTCCACCAGTCGGCCATTCCAGACAAACACACAGTTGGCTGACTGTGATGGTCTGTAGGTTGACAGTCTTCCAAGTCTTGGACTGTATATTCAAGCGCGTCCATTTGTTTTTTTTGTGAGTAGTGGGCGCCGACAGACGAACTCGCGCTTTCTTTCCTCTTGAACGCATAGGCGATAGTCAGAACCGGTCTACCAACTGATTGTCCAACATGTAATACCTCCAAAAAAATGTAAATGACATCAATTCGACCGACTCGGCTGATTGTGGAAGCAGTATACACGTTGCAATCTGTCTGTCACCATCAAAGTAGGTTTATTTAGTAAAAGGGTGTTTTCATACTACGTGTCACACTTTTCATAATTAATTATTTCAAGTTTCTAAGATTAACTTAACACTCCACGCGATATACTCCTGTGGAAAGATCTAATCCTAAAACTCTAATAAGGAGGAAAGAAAAGATGCAGTCACTGGAATGAGAGGTTTTTAGGTGGAAGTATTAGAGTTTCGTTGTACTGATTTTTGGATCTCGCCTATTTGCTTCTGTCTGCAGTCATAATACTAATAAAAGTAAATGAATGTTCTTGCAGGAATTCATTCAATGTTTATTCCCAGTCATGCATAGCGTCTGCTTGAATTGCGGTCCAGTGGATTTCAGGTAAACAGTTCTGTCACTTATTTGACCGAGTGATGAAGTGCAGAATCAGAGTACCATAGGTTATATTATATATTAGATATATATAGGTCAGATTATCTAAGCTGCTATGGATAAAGCTGTGTACATGTAATTTACAGCTGCATGCTCATGTCTGTTGGTTGACTCGAAAACCGGCAGGAAAGTTATTTTGCCTTAAGACAACTATCAGATCAGTGTGTGTCTAGTGCAGCGAAAAATACGTGGGTTAACCTATAGGTGAACTGATTTCGCGGGCGGAAGGTACTTTGACAAGCGGTTGTTTTGAGTACTCGGCATCAGGTGATTATACTCGACTAGACAATCAGTATACTAGTCGACGACTTGCGCAACGGGGTGAACCCTCGTAGGCGAAGAGACAGTGTCTGGATCCTCAACGCGGTCGGGGTGATTTTGAAAGATACAGGTTAAATTTTTGAAGAAAGTTTAATGTCACCACCGAAAGATGACACAGCCGTTGGTACGCACGATCCAGAGCAGACAACGTCAATGAGAGAGAGGGGGAAAGAAAGATGTAATCTAGACTAACTATGAATACTGGCCGACTTCGTGTGTTGAGTCACGAGAAATATCAATCCTGTAAAATTTATTTCTGTTCACCTAAGACTAAGTGTCATACGCAGCCGGTGCTTCTATCCCGGCTAGGATGCGCATCTTTAGTAGCTCTGTTTGGACTTTGGGCACTCGCAAAGCACGCCAAAGGTTAGATCAACGCCTAGATGGGGACGACTAATGACGACTACAGGTACTAGAGTGGAGTTAGTCTTTGCTTCGCTCTTTCCTAACTTGAAAGTACGATGGTCTTAGAGCCTGTCGAAATGACACTGTGCCGTCCAACCGATCAATAAGTCCAGAAAACGAGATGATAAAGGATCTAAATTACTGGACATTTTGGCTTTTAAAGCAAGACAATGATAGGAAACTGCGGTATTTCCCTATCGATAGTCCACCTGCCATGTATTGCGGATTGGCTGAAAACACTGCTCCAGGGCAGTTGCTTATGTATAGTCATAGCTCGTGCATTCGCGTTTCTGGATTTTCGAATTCACTTACTAAAGACTTTTTCAAGGGACCCTAATAAATTTATGTTCATTATTTTTTCGCAGACCTGCGAAGTTTTCAAAATCCACGAAAGACCCAGCAAAACCGTTCATGTCTAATTTTTAAAGTAATTTATAGGCGTTTATGTTCTTACGGTTGTTTTCAAAACATTTTAGTGTACATATATATTTTTGTTCCTTCGCATCCTTGCCCTTACTTAGCGCGCAGACATTTCTTACAACTTATTATTTCTCCGTGTGTATTATCATAATTTTAAAATAACTGAATACGTATGCACCCTACGTATAGTAAATATATGTTTTCTCCATTGCATCGAACTGCATATTCGTACTATGACTTCAGTGGTGTAGGAAATTTACATAGTTGACCTTCCTGACAACGACAAACATAAAATCATCCAGTAAGCTTACATCCCTATTCGCTACTAGGTTTTAGCTTACTGGGAGGGAAAATATTGCACCAGCAAGTGATTGAGTAAAGCTTGTTGTATGTGGGTCAGTGAACGAGACCATACTCGAATCAAACTTTCATTTCTTTGTTAAATCTTATTTATTCGACTAACTTTTACATTAAATAAAAGACCTTTTAGTATGATTTGCACACTTTCGGGAAAGAAAAACTTTCGAAATAAGCATTTAGTAAGTCTTTTCAAAGGTTCATGACTTCTTATGGCAGCGGGTTCTGTATCAAAAGCTCTCAAAAATTGCGTATATTACTGTATTCTTACGTGTTTGTATAACGCTTGGGATAACATATCTTCAGTAAGAGTTTTTCATATGACCACCCAATGGCAAAAGTCCCCCCCCTCCCAGTGTCTTACTGGATTCGTCGTTAAAGGGAAGTGAAAGGATCAGGCACACCAAGAGCCACATGGGTGCGTGAGAACGGCTCAGTAAGAAGAAAATTAAGCCCAATTGTATTTGTTTTATTGAACTAAAATGTAGGTGAAAAGGTTGCAGAAGGGACAAAAAGAGTGAAAAGAAAGTCAATAGACTAAGGCAATTATTGAAACAGCTCATCTCAGGTAACTTAATCGTTGAAGTATGTGGATAGGCAGTAATTCCACCTACCGAAACGTTGAAAGCAGGCTTTAATTATCAAAGTCCCCCTGGAGGTGGACAAACAAAGAACTCTTGCCATTTTACCTAAGGCAGGATAAGATGTGAACCCTAGTATTGGCGCTATCCAAATGCAAAGGGTTTGGGTAAAATCAACAGGAATCTCGTACCCCAAAACAAGCATGGTTTAATCTGGGAAGAAGGAAGCGCGATCGCTGGAAAGCCAGTTTTATTCCTATGGAATTTCGAAACCGCACTCGTTGCCATCATCAGAGACAACAGCAGATGAAGAATATGCCTGAAAAGGGGGTGCACCAAAAGTGAAAAATGTGCGGGAAAGTTCGTAATTTCTCGCTTGGGGAGATAAATTCAACCAAAGCCATAGTTTTCTAGTGTATAGTTATATTATGTTTGCCGCAAGCGACTGAAAGCCATCCGTCAGCATGTGTCATATCACAATCGTCAATCAAAGATACTTTGGTTCAATTGCCTTATAACTTCTGAGCTCATAGGAAGCTCAAGCCACGGAGCATGCCGATGCCTTAACATAATTTCCAAAGGATTAAATAGATTGCACGCCCTCCGCTGTGGGGCTTATTTTGTGCTTCCAAATGCACTAAGATATTCTACCTGGTATACGCAACCGACTATAGGCAGACCCAGGCGTAGCAAAAAAAATATTCCCGCTTCTTTTAGGGCTTATAGACCAGAACAGTCTAGCGCATCACATCAAACAACACTTAAATGCAAAATCACGCTTTTAGCCCAACAAATTTTTTTTCATTCTGCTACTTTCAACACCCACAGAGATACCTGAAAACCTGAACACCACTGCGGGTGGTCGCTACATCCCCCCGGCCGTTGAA